TTGAATAGTTCAATATTGAAACTCATACCCAGTTTTTTAACTTATTTTACTTATTTACTATCGATCATCAAAGTCATTAATTCGCCACTAGTAATTAATCTGTTTGCACCAAATTACACTTACTTTGACGCGATCTTCTCCCACGTTGAGCTGCTGTTGATTCCGCAAGTACGTGGAGCAGGAAGGAACGCTGGTAGGGCTCCTTGGGACGGGTTCCCGACGAAGATGGTGGCGGTAACTGACTTCTGCTGCTACGGGTGGCATCGCTGTTGTTTTCCTCTTAGACTGCTTCCTGGCTTTGGGATCTCCCAATCTCTCGTACAATTTTCTTGTCCAACCATTTCTTGCAAATATTTCCCACGAACACGGCAAACAATCCGATTAAGATCACTACGATAGTTATTGTCGTGATCTCGTGCAACGTTAAATTTTCAGGGCTTGCTGATACTGAGTTCTGGACCTCGCCAGCATTGCTGTTTATGACAATGTCTTCCTTGGATTGCTGCGTACCCATTTTTTTCCGGTTGTGTCCTTTTTACGAAAAGAATTCTTCGATGGCAGGATCTTGGATGGCAGGATCTCGATGGTAGGGTCTTCGATGGCAGGGTCGCCATGTAATAGATTGTGGATCGCCATGTAATAAATGTTGATTTATTAGGATGGGACCATTTGAAGAACACTCCCTTCACCTTTTATACCCATTTATTCACTCTCGATGTACATTCGTGACTGCTTATAAATTATCACTCCCTATCCTATGTTAGTTGCTGACTTATGCTATATTAGTATTTCGTAACTTAACGCTTACTCTACAATAACTAAATGAATGCTTACTGTACAGAGTATTTGTGTGTATTGGCAACGAAGGAAACCATTTTCAACATTATTATTGTAAAGACCTTAATACAAAAAACAATTAAAATGCTTTGTTTTAATCTTCTGTAACTCCTTGTGACACCTATGAATTTAGGGATATTAATGTGCATTATTGCCAGTCATGTATCTTTGGTTGCATACATGTTAAATCACGTGACTTTCGATCGTTAATGAACACTCTATCTTTAAAACAATTTATAACTAGTAAAAATAAAGTTATTGAAATACATAAAGTGAGTCAGACGCTCGTCGATACCTGATTATTCATTAATTAGTTAGTCGATCCCTTAAACTGAATGCATTAATATTCTTTTCAACTATACAAAATAGTCTGTATTTGAGACACGGTTTAATGTATTCAATAGATTGTTGCTGAGATTTTTCACACATCAATATAGCGAACGTAAACGAGTACATTTTTTGTAAATTGCATTTGGGTTATTGTGATAACCCAAACTTCCCGTCTTAAATTGACACTTGAAAAAGTTTGAAAGGCCCGCGAAAAATTCAAAAATTCAAAATCTGGCCTTGGCTGTGATCGTCTAACAAAAGGAACCTATGTTGTGTGTTTTTTATTTGAAACATGGCGGGAAGACGTTCTTTCATACAAATGAGCATACACTGCGTGTGAGTCGAGAGCGCAAGAAATAATAGACACAATTTTTAGGAGGAGGCTAAAAATCGCGCCCCCTCTCTAGGAGGAAAAGAACTGCGAGCTAGGGCGTCACGGACTTGCCCTCAGCCCCAAAACCCCCTATGGTATATTCACCAACATATAATACATCGCAAATGAAACACATACAAATATGATAGAAAAGACAACCGCGAATTGACAGACATACACATATGAAAACCAAACAAGTACAAAAACCCTACACTAATGTTTTGAATCAATGCAAATATTTTAATATCACAAGTTTAAAAACAAAACAAATCAAAATCTGGATTAAAGTAACTGGATGCAAATACACAAGTTATTACGGGCGTGTGACGTCAAATTTAAAGTTACGGCAGTTAACAGGAGCACAACAAAAACACCCCTGGGGCGTTCTAGCATAAGCGAAGTTTGGGGCTCCCGGCCATGGCTGTTCTCCCCCGCGACGGTGATTCAACCTATCACAATACTACCGCAAAGCACATCTCCATGACGAACATGCCGTACTAACCAGGCCGTTACTGTCGAAAACTGATGGTTGGAATGCCAACGCTATAGATAAGCTGACAACTTCACACTAGGAGCTGCGCCCTACGCTTCTGCTATGTGTTTCGGTGTTGTTTCCATTTTTAAATGTTCAATTTTTTATGACTCTAATATTGTCGACAACTGAACAAGTGTTAAAGTTTCAAAAGAGCAATAAACAACATTTAAATTCGTTACAATCTTGTGAAATTTTAAACAACAAATAATTCTTATGCGAGATTAAAATTCAACATCGAATAATGGAAACATTCATCAACAAAATATTTACAAAATAAAACTAGCAAAGATTTATAAAAACAAAAGATCTGGAGGGAAATAAACTTGTGCAAATAAAAAAAGATTTTATATTTATCAAAAAACAGTTAAAAATCGCAAGGTAAAATGACATTGACAATAAGTGTTCGAAATGACGTCCTTCGTTTCTAATACAGGCTTCCGCTCGTCGAATCAGTGATTACTACGTTCTAAAGATCATATCGATATGAAACTCTATAACTACAGTAGTAACTGGTTAAATCTAGCTAGTAACATCACCGTGATACACAAATGGTCATCTGACTGGTGACTTCCACTAAACATCTCAAAATGCAACGTAGGTACATGGGTAAATAGAATCCCAAACATAGTTATGAGTTTCATACGACTTATCTTGGTCACAGCATGTTAGTTATGTTACAAAAAAAAAGCTGATAAAATGGTTCTTCTGCTAATCAAAGCTTTTGCCGGTGCAAAAATTGCAACAGTTGTTAAGGTATACAAGGCATTTGTTAGGCCAATTTTAGAGTTTGCGACTTGGGTACGTGACGTCGAACTTCTAGAGAATGTCCAGAGACATGTTTCCAGAATACCATTTGGTTGGAATCACCCTGAATATGAGGAAAAACTGATCCATTTACTACTTTTGTCCAATCGACGACAACGGGGAGATGCTATCCACGGTATATAAGATATAAGGCACTCACAAAAATGTTAATTCTTCTGTCAGGTATATTTTTCTTCTACTGACACGCGCACCAGAGGTCACCACTTCAAACTCCGCAAAGACAGTTTCTGTACTATCTCTAGACAGCATTTTGTTACTAATAGGGTATTTAACTTTTGGAACTCACTGTCCGCGGAAGTACTCCAATGCGGAAACGTTTCAGCAATTAAAATCAAACTTGATAAATATATGGTTAATAAATAAGTTATCACCACATTTTTGAAGCGCGGGCATAATAGGTTTCCACCTCTGCCCGAACGCATTTCCTTAATAATAATAATTATTAGCGACGGTGACACGCAGCTCTGAGACACCCTGTATATACTCGTCTAAACAATTGTCGGCTTATTTTTATTATTTTTAAGAAAAAATACGATTGCACACGTGCACGTACATTGTTTTGAATTAAAAACAAAAACAGTTTCTTTCGAGATTCAGAACCGCGAAAATCTTAAAAATGAAACGTAGCATAACTGACTATTTTTCGATACCATCAGTCAAAGCTCAAAAGCGGAAGTGCCCGGAGCCTTCAACTTCAAAAACTGTACTATACGAAATACGGATTAAAGATGAGGATAAAGAACGGCGTGAAGCTGAAGAGAACATAACACTTGTAAGTGATGTGGAAATCGACGAAGGTGACGAAGAAGCTGATTTGGAATCTTTTGAGGCGACCATACAGAAAAATAATTGGTTTTGTAAGGAATTTTGAGATTAGAAAACTTTTTTTCGTTGTTGGAGTGCTAGTTATCATACATAATTAGGCTAATTAGTCGTCCTGTGTTCCCTAACCGACAACGCACGATAGTTACTAAGATAGGTAAGGGCACGCTTTTTCCCCTTTTCATTAGACGATCCGGTACTACATTTGTGATCTCTGCTGGTGCAGATAAAATATCGTTGATGTGGATACCAAGGTATGTATTTGTTGATGCAGATAGGTATCCGTTGGTACTTACACTTAAGAATAACTTTAAGTAGATATTAAGTCGCACATCTTGCGTGTCTTTTGCTTCAGTGGTAGCCCTGTACTCCTTGATACTGGGTGTGGGATATAGCCGGAGCCTGCGCCTATTGCTCTTCACACCTATTGTAAAGTTCAGTTAAAGATATTGTGCGGTTATGGCTTAATTACTGCTCAACTTGAGGTAATTTTTACTATTTCGTCACAATGAGGAAAATAATCTATTTAACTGGCCAGGAACCTTCTCCTATTGTAAGAATATTAAACAAAAATCATTTCAATACGGCATGTGGCTTGTCTAACTGTCTGTGTAACGTCCAGTTGCTTGTATTTTTTAATTTTATGAGGGATGAGGAATATAAAGTGCTTATGAAGTCACAGTCATAAACGCACAATATCTTTGGCCAAACTACTTAGATATCTTAGTAGGTACTAATTGCCATTGTCGAGGACGAGAGCGATCATTTTGCGCGAATTTACTGTTCATTGCATTTGGACCGTCGTTTCCAACCTTTAGAACAAGCTTATTTAAAAAACAGTTGTTAATGAAATCAACCAATCCTATTCATATAATAAAGTGGTACCAAACTGGTTATTTGCTAATAAATTTAAAAAACACGACCTCGTGATTAATAAATAATACTACTACCAAATTATCAGAACTAACCAGTCCATAACTGCAATCAACTCCAATGTGTAAAACTTCGTGAAAAAAATAGTCCCCTCCTATCCCCTACACTATTAAAATTTTTCATAATTTCTCTCGTCTTTACAATGCGAAAAAATGACAATGGCGAAAGTTAATGGCAAACAATTATTATGTAAGAAGGTACGTTAGCGGTGTAATATAAAATAACCTTGAAATTGAATCTGTAATTTTAACAAGCCAACTCAGCTCCAAGTTCAGTTCCTAGATTAATAAATAGGTTTAATAACAAAGAATGTTTAAATATTTTTTAATAAAATACGTTTATTTTCTTTACTACAATAACCAACGCTTAATATGTTCCTTCAAAATAATTTAAAAATAATACGAAACTATTTAGATAAAATACTGAGCACATTAATGTAACCTTTGATATTATGTCTACATGTCGTACATAACATATTTGCACGAAATTTATTCTATGAAACTTAATAAAGATTTTGCACGTCATGATTTCTCTAATGATAAAGTTTGTACTTTGTACTTTATAAATAATCCTGTTCGTTCATAAATACTATTACATCAGCAAGTCTTTTATTAATTGCTTCCATATTTTTTGATTCTGTCCCGGATATAGATTCAATTAAATTTTTTCCCGATTTTGCTAATTCACTCAGGTCAGGAGCTTCTTCGACTTCACTTAAAATAACTTTCATCACAAAAAGTGTCATAAATAAACCGTGTTTAGAATAGAATTTCCACTGATCTTCTAATCCTTCATACGTGGGTATATCATTTGGGTTCACTCCTGCTTCTTCAAGAGTTTTAGAAAGATTTTGGTGATAAATTGTCAAAAAATCTTTGAGTTTGTAGAGAACGTTTTTCGCACTACAGGCATAAAAAAAGTATGACAAATCCAGAACTGGAGAACCAGTTTGAGAGATTTGCCAATCTAGGAGACACATTTCACTTGGCCTTGAGGAATCTTCAAGATTCTGAAAGAGATTTTTTTTAATGCACATACTGTTATCTCATAAATAAATAGCAAATTACATTATACTTAAACATCATGTTGTTACACCAGCAGTCACCGTGTAAAATAGTGGAATATTCAGCTTTCTGGAGATCTTCCATAAAAAATTGCTTACATCCTTGAGCAAATTTTGTTAATCCCTGCGTAGCTTTTTCGTCGTTTGCCACCGCTCTGAATCCATTACCAAAAACGAATTTCATGTTTTCTTGAAATTGTTTCGCATCCTCTTCATTTTCTTCATCTTTTCGAAAAATGTTCTTTAAATTCTTGCATAATTCTTCATATTTTTCGGGTTTCAAAAGTTTTAACGCCAACCCTGTTCCGTGGAACTTGGCGTATGTTTTAAATACGAGAGCGACATGATTTTCATCCATTGCCAGTTTGCGATTCCACAGTTTAAAATTCATTTCTTTGAGGTTTTCTAAAACAATACACTCTTCTTTATCTACCGACAAGCTTCCGTAGTATTTGGCTGTTTCACAAAATCTGTTCGTAATTCCAACTTCGTGAGACAATAAATCGAATGCAGGAAACACGACGTTGTACAAATAAATTTCCCTGTCGTATGCTTTCTTAATTGGGCTGTTTTCTCTTAGTGTTTCTTCTGTCAAAGCTGATTTCATGATCAGGTGTAAATGTTTGCTGATTTTACGTTTATCTTGAATATAGACCGTATAAATTATACCTAAATAACCATCTCCTTTCATTGATCCTGATGTAATATTCACTGTGTAATCATCGAAACCTTGGCTTTTGGCTATGGCTTTAACTAGGTCATTTTTTTCTTCGGATAATGTTACACTCATTTTGATTTTTTGTTCGCACTGTCACTAAACCATTCAACGAGACTATCTTCGTGGAAATGAATAATAATCGGACTGACAATAAATTATTATTATCCCCACCTACGACCTTCTACTGCAATTAACGACACAAACTGCTCCGAGTACAATACTAATTATTTCTCGAACGAGATCACACAGGTTGTAATTTAAAACATATTTTAATCATATGCATTACGTTACTGTACACTGTAGGTAAATGTAATATTTTAAGTATCGATTAAAAAATATATAGGATTTTAAACTGTTTCCCCTCTACAAAAACGAATGAAATTACATTTTTATCTTTGCTATCTTTACTTATGTATTACTAAGAGCATACCTAATTTTATGTGTCATATTTTTATATATTTCAATAAAGTTTTTTTGTGCATTAATGAATAAACAAATATGTACTAGTTATGTGCGTTTTTAATGCAAAAAATATTTACAACGGAATTATGCTCATTTTTTCGGACATTTTGTATAAAGAAGGTAATTCGAATAGCTTACGAAATTTGAAGTATGTAACCATACTATTCTATACATTTCCAGTGATAATTATGGTGCAAAATTTTGAAACAAGAATAAATTTTTGAAAGAAACAAATAAACTTTGATATCGATTTACCGTGTTTAGGATAACCTAAAAGTATGTGCAAAAATTCACAGCAATAGTTTTATATTAGATAAGTCGTAAAATTTTGTCATATAGTTTTGATTTCTCTCCAAAAACCTACATGAGTTCACTGCTGCACTAATGCTGGACTTCTTCTTTTACTTTTTCGTCCATTGAGTTCGTATTTCCTCCGACAATATTTTCCATAACCTTCAAGTGTTCTTTAATTTCTTCTGTTTCATTCTTGATTGTTTCTATGTCCATTTGGAATTTTTCAGTTAGGCTGGTGATTGTCATTTTTTTCCTTGTCTATTTTTGTTTATCATTTCCATTTTTTCGTTCATTCTTTCGCCTTTTGCGTTAATTTTTTTGTTCATCTGTTCCATTCTGACGCCCATTTTCTCGTTGATTTTTTCCATTTTTTCGTCCATTTCTTTGTCTCTTATGTCCATTTTTTCCATTTTTGCGTTCATTTTCTCGTCTCTTGCGTCCATCTTCTCATCCATCGTCTTGTTTCTTGCGTCGATTCTTACGTTCATTTGTGCAAGCATAGCCATCATCCCATTTCCGACACCAGTGCTACGTTGAACTGGTATGAAAAATCGGTGTGAGTAAAACCCAACAATTTATTTCTTGGTAACTCAAATTTACAAGACTATTTACACAGCGATTATGTACAAAATAATTCCGGCGCAACTTGTCTGAATTTTTGCGACACTCGCTTACCTTACCTTACCTAAAATCTGTCTGTAATTAAGATCTACAACGAAATAATATATAACATTGTCACAATAAACGATCCCATATAAATGTATGCCTACCCGTGTTATCCAACTACTCGTAAACTTCATTTTTCAAAACTCACTGGACTCGACTCGTTGACTGAATAATCGTTCCCGACGGTGGCCTCTATTTAAATGCATACATTTCTCTGGATGGATCGCGAACGCCAATTCTAGGTTTTTCTGGACCCCGCAATCGAGACTTCCGATAACCGGATGCAGAGTTGTCTTTACGCGAACGCGCCCAGCCGCTGTCACCGACGATGAGTCACCCATCATCGCCGCACCTACTAGAAAACTCATAGGCGTCGCACCGGGGCGGCGTATGGGTTCATTTCGTAGCACTGTGTAATGGTATGTGTATATTCACAATCACAATAAATGAAAAATTCTTAGTACATAATTGTTATTATACAAGATTGTACAATGAACATGTAAAAGGATGTTCAAACTGAATTCGGAATTTCCACGAAAACTATCATAGCTGTCACTGCTGAGTAATCGGAAAACCAGTTTTCGAGTTATGGAAGTACTCGCAATTTTGCTCGTAAAATTTACTTCGATTTAAAGAAATTTTCGGGTTATAGAATTTCGAGTTAAAAAGATCAAAATACGTGTAAATTTGATTCAAATGCATGGGGAACACAGTCAAGTAAGAGTTATAGAGAAATTCGACTAATGGAATTTCAAGTTATAGAAGTTCGACTGTGTATCCGTTCATCTGTGAACGTAAGTAGTTATTTCAAATATCTGTCACCCTGTTTCATAAACGTAAAACTGGTTGCATAATATTCGTAGCGCATTTGGTATTAAAAATTTTAATTCTGTTGTAATGGAATGAGTAAGGTTGAATTCGTTAGTCAGCAAATGCTTGTCCATTGCAAGGAACTAGGTCATCAATAGTGTATAAAAGTGTAAGTGCAAGCTAAAACAAGGAAGTGTTAAGTCTGGGTTTGTAGTGGTAATATGGGTAAATAAATGGATAATAAACATGTAGTGGTGTTATTAACCAACCACCGCCGTGACTATTAGAGAGGACATCACACTGTGTAGCAAACATTTTATTCCAGTTTGATATGATTTTATTACACAAAGTCGTGAAATTGTAAAACCGAACACTAAAAGTAAAAAAAAAGTTTCAATGATTCGTGTAATTTTTCGAATCTTTAATAAAAGAGAGGAAGCCTTTGTTTAACGAAAATTAATCGTAACGATGACTTGTTTTATTGTTCACCGATCAGGTTAAGATTTTAATCGTGAACTGGTATTAACACAATTTAACAGACACTTACTAGGAGATTTCATGAAATTCACTTAGTCATGATAACACCCTCTGTCTAATTATTTATGAATAAGTTTCTGGACGCTAAGTCGTAAGTGTTAGCTTCTTAATTCTTCACACAAGATTGCTAATAGTTCATTAACGGCAGTTAATTTAACAAAATTCATAATTTCGTGAACTAGCGGGGGGTTAAAATAATTTCTTCCCTTAGGCAGTTAACATCGTTATTATCATTGTTATCATCATTACATCACAGATGCATTTCCTCGCAACGCTAAAGATTGATTAGTCCTGCTGAGGATTTTATTAGAGGGTTGGTAGAGACAAGATGGCTGCTTGGTAGAAGGCGGTGAAAGCGTCACCTTTGGTGTGTTTGTTGTCAGTATAACAACGTGGTGAGTCAGATTCGTTAGTTTATTTGATTGGTAGTTAATAAAATAGAGGAAGCCTTTGTTTAACGACAATTAATCGTAATGACGATGACGCCACAATTTTCCCCAACACGCGCAGTTAATTGAAAATTAAATGAATTTTCGACGGGCGCTAACAATCAGGTTAGGATTTTTAATCGTAAACTGGTGCTAACACATTTTAACAGACATTAGATTTATTTAGATAAATCACTTAGGTACTAGGAGATTTCATAAAATTCATTTAGTCAGGATTCAGTCTTTTGTTTAACAAAGTTACGAATAACGTTTCTGGATGCCAATACTCAAGTGTTACATTATAGCACTTCTTAATTTTTCACACAAAATTACTAATAGTTCATTTACGGCAGTTAAATTAATAAAATTCATAATATCGTGGACTGCGGGACGAGGGAATTAAAGATTTCTCTCCTTATGCAGTTGTCATCGTTATTATCATCTTATCATCATCACTACACCGAGATATTTCTCTCGCAACGTGCACAGCTATATCACCGAGAAACTTTGATCGCAACGCCTGATGCATTTTGTGTTTATTTATCATGTGTTTTGTCTGGGGAAAATATTCCACGATATAAACCCTCAAAACAAATTGTTTTAAGTAAATAATCAATCACTTGGATCATAGCATAATGTAACATCATATAAATTCTTTCTTTGAATCGTTGATAAAGTGTGGCAAATATTAATGTCATGTAAATTTGTTACCTTTGCATTTTTGCACCTCATACAATTCTTCTCTATCTCACAATTTTAAATTGAACGTAAACTTTCATGCTGCGCAGTTTCTAACCTCGCGTATTATTTTATTAGCACAAGTTTATTTCACACCAAATCTTTTGTTTTCATAAATCTTTGCTATTTTTACTTCCCGAGCGTAAGCAAAGGAAGTATTGTAATCGAGTCCGTCGGCCGACTCTCTACTTTTACGTTTTCTCGATCTTTCATGACCCCTAGAAGACGAAGAAATAGGTCGCCCATTTCCGTCTGTCTGTCCGTCTGTCCGTCCGTCTGTCCGTCCGTCTGTCCGTCCGTCTGTCCGTCTGTCCGTCTGTCCGTCTGTCCGTCTGTCCGTCTGTCCGTCTGCCGTCCCGGATTTTTATTAGACAGATAATCTCCGAAAGTACTCGACCGATTGTTGTGAAATTTTGTACTTATATTAAGAATATCATGTAGATGGTAAAACGCTAACCAAAATTTGTCTAATCATCCCCACCACTAATGCGATGACGTCACTTCAAAATTGTACATAGTAAATGGGTTTTCTATTGTATAAAATAACATAGTCCTACACATGTAGTTTACAACTCTGAATCGACTTTTCACCCGAAACGTCCAGATTTTTGGAAAAAAAATCAAAATTATAAAACAACATTTTGAAATTTAATTTTTAATCTGCTAACCAGAATGCTTTGAAATGTTGCAGATGTTTTAATGCTATAAAGAGCATCATAAATCTTTAGTCAAAAAATATTTGCTTATCCCCTCCAAAAACTTGATGACGTCAGCTCAAAAGTTTGTGGAATAAATCATATCTAAAATGTACAAAATATGATGAGTCTGTACTTGTGATCTATCACTCCATTCATATTTTTTGGATTTGCATATACAGGGTGACTCAAAAAAATTAATGAATGCGTAAATATATTTAACTGATTTACTCAGAAACTGCAAAACCGAATGCTTTGAAATCTTGCAGATTTTTTAAGGTTATAAAGAGCATAATAAATGTTTAGTCAAAGTATATTTGCTTATCCCCTCCAAAAAATTGATGACGTCAGCTCGAAAGTTTGCCGAATAAATCCTATCTAAACTGTAAAAATATGATGAGTCTGTACTTGTAATTTACCACTCCATTCATATTTTTTGGATTTGCATATACAGGGTGACTCAAAAAAATTAATGAATGCGTAAATATATTTTATTGATTTAATCAGGAACTACAAAACCGAATGCTCTGAAATCTTGCAGATGTTTTAAGGTCATAAAGAGCATAATAAATGTTTAGTCAAAATATATTTGCTTATCCCCTCCAAAAACTTGATGACGTCAGCTCGAAAGTTTGCCGAATAAATCATATCTAAAATGTACAAAATATGATGAGTC